GGAAGTTGCATGCACATTACACCTCTATATTTTCTTGCCACCAAGAATGTGTTGTCATTTTCTAATCATGTTATTTTTGTAGGAACATTTATATTTTGTAATGGAGTATTTAAACGGCGGTGATTTAATGTTTCATATCCAGCAAAATGGGAGATTTGAAGAAAAGAGAGCAAGGTATGAATTGACATTTAAAGCGTTCAACTATGAAAGTATAATCAGTGTAAAATATAACTTTAAAACTGTTTTAATTCCACAAGAGACAAAATTTGTGAGATGTAGAAGGATAAATATACACTGCAGTTACAGATCTAATGACATTTGCTTTGAGAAGAGATTTATCCACCACATTTTGCTGACATTATCTTCTTCTTTTCAGGTTTTATGGTGCAGAAATCATTCTTGGTTTACAATTCTTACACCGAAGGGGAATCATTTACAGAGATCTTAAACTTGACAATGTATTATTAGACAAAGATGGTCATATCAAAATTGCTGATTTTGGTATGTGTAAAGAGAATATACTTGGCGATAAGAAAGCCAGCACGTTCTGTGGGACGCCAGACTACATAGCACCTGAGGTGAGTTCATCCCTATTCTTGTTTATCAACTGTTATTACTGGCTGAAATTTCTTCAAAAGAAAAATAAATGTTGTTATTTAATTGTTTGTGTATTTACCGGTAATTGTTGCAATGAAAATTCCTAGTAAAAAACTAATAACTATTTAACCTGTCTGCATGAAATGTTATCAAAATAACCCTACCTCTATCGATGTTAACTATAGTTATTTATTTATTTGGAAAATCTAACAGGAACAAATCCAGTTTTACAGTCGCCTTGAAGTATTATTCATACAAACATACACTCTAAGCCTAAAAAATAAATATACAAGTAACAATTATATTATATCTTTACAGGGGGTGATTATAACGCAACACAAGTTTGTATTTCATGTAAAAAACAATGCATTTTACACGCAATATGTACGTCACTACGAGTCTCATATCAAACACCACTGCCCTTTAAAATAACAAAGTGAATTTAAGTAAACAATGCGTGTTATTGGCAAATTTATAAAATATGATGAATATATCAATCAGTGAATTTAACAATTTCATTAACAATACTCGCATATCAAGCAATATATGACTTGGAAGTTGGAGATGAATGTAAGAATCTAACTGTTGCATCCTATATTACTGTTGCAGTGTTATACATGCATTTTATATGCAGCTAATAAGTCGGTAATTCAAATGCTCAAAAGACTTCAGCAATTTACTGGTACTTTTCAAAATGTCCTAATTTTGTTCAATTATTTCTGACAAAGTGTTTTTTCTGTTAAATTTATTGTTTTAACCCTAAAATATGGCAAATAATTAGAAATGTTCCATGAAGCTAAGTTGCCACCTGGGCCAATATAATGTTCTGAGGTAATGTTGAGACAACTGAATTAATAATTACATACTGTAAAATTCTTGACAAGTTAAATGTAAAATATAGGAAAAACGGTATATTCACTGGATTTTATTTTCACTGAATCATTCCTTTGATGAAAATTAATTTCAAGCAAAAATAATGTATTTTACAGTAATATGACAGAACCCCACTCCCTCCCCGTGTAGAACGCGTGTCACTGTCTGTGTGGACATAAAATAATCATACATCCAATCTGAATCACTGTCCGAATAAATTACTCGTGGACGTTTAGTTGGATCCATGACAGGACCAGAACTTGAACTGGACTACTATGATACACAGTTTATTAGTCCCCGTTCGGACGAAGTCCGAAAACGGGGACTTATAATTCGGTCTCCGTCCGTCTGTGCGTCCGTGCGTCCGTCCGGAGTCATATCTCAGAATCCCTTGGACCGATTCTGTTCATTCTTTGCATGTGCCTAGTACTTTATGTGGGACATATGCACATACAGTGGTTTAGCGATTCAATTCAAAATGGCCGACTGGCAGCCATCTTGTTTTTTGAAAATGTTGTATTTTGGACATGCTTTGTCAGTTTTCATTCAAACTTGGTACATAGATTATACATGTTAGGATACATGTCCATTATGATTTATTTCACAATTGGATCAAAGATGGCTGACTGGCAGCCATCTTGTTTTTTGAAAATGTCGTATTTTGGACATGCTTTGTCAGTTGTCATTCAAACTTGGTACATAGATTATACATGTTAGGATACATGTCCATGACGATTTATTTCGCAATTGGATCAAAGATGGTCGACTGGCAGGCATCTTGTTTTTGTTTTTTTATGCGGTATCTTGGACGTGCTCTGTCAGTTTTCATTCAAATTTGGCACATACAT